TTGGGGGGATAATGACGAATATGCTTCAAGCTGTCCCGACAGCTCGGGCTATGCCCGAGGGCGAGCGCGCACGCGCGCTCACGCTCTGCGCCAATCAAAAACAACAAGTTCGGGTTGAAGTCAAATCCAGCGGTGACTTTGGAGACAATGAGACGCCTCGATCACTCCGTTCATCTTTCGTCATGGCGTGCCAAATGCGATGACAGCTGCCCAGCCGTTAACCACGCCCCATGGAAACCCACTGGCACACGTTTGGGCACTCGCAATCGAGCCACTGGCTTGCCAGAGAAAATTCTGGCATCCCAGATCGCAAAATCCGTGCTGTCCGGGTGTGGTCCGTATAAGAAATTCCCGATGAAGCCGTCATCACTAGGATCACCCGAGGGAGAAGAGCTGGGTATGAACACTGGCTCCCCAGAGAGCCAGCCGTCTGGAACACGAAATTCACCAGACACCTTCGAGCCCTCCATATCCCACTTCGTGAAGCCGTTGAACCCGAAATCAGCCGTGGAATTCTCCATCTGCGCGGCCGTATAGCCGAATCGAGCTGGCCCGGCACCAGCAAGGTCGTCCCGTAGGCGCGTGAACTCGCCGTTGTGCAGTCCCTCAGGATCGACTACGGTAATCCTCGCTGCCTCCCCCCCTGGCCTCAGGTCCAAACGCACCTCGGCCATGTACCACTTGTCGCAGCAGCCATCCAAAACTTTACCCTTCTCCTGCGCGTCGGATTCGAATCCCAGCGGCGCCCAAAGCTTGAGGGTTTGTCCGCCGTCCTCCTCCCAGGCGTGCAAGCCGTGAACCCACGCAATGCTCTGCGGGAGGTCGAACCAGCGAACCTCGGCCGCCGTCCTCGCAGAGCGCGGGATCAGGGCGACGCGGGATGTGTAGTTGCTGTCGAACGTGAAGATGCCGCCTCCGACGGCAATCTTCTCAGGCGTGAAGCGGACAGAGGTGTCCAGGACTATCAAGTAGCTCTCGGACAGTATCGGATCGTGGTTGAAGCTCGGCCCAGACGTGTTCAGCGGTATTGTCACCTGCACCCTCCCGTGCTCGTCGAGGCGCCGGAACGCCAGGAAGGTTCGTCCGTCCTCTCCACCATCGACAATGCTGACATGGAAAAAAGCCTCGCCAGATCGAGCATCAATTTTGGGGTGCGCGGACAAGCGGCCTTTAAATGTAGTGTTGTATCCTACAGTCGAAATAACTCCGTCTGCGTTCACCCGAAACTCGAAAGCTGGGTTACCGTCAGCGAGCGCCCACAACCGCCCATCCGGCAGCATGGCCATTGCGACATTTGCCAGCCCCGCCTGGTCCAGGTCAAGCCCAGCGAGGGTGACCTTACGCTTGTGGACCAGGACCGCTTTGAGAATGCCGGTCAACCCAGTCAGCTCCCCTATGCGGCCGAAGTACGCCTGGCCCCTCTCCTGTTCGAAGGCGAGCCGCGGCGTCCGCATCCAAGCGTTGTGGTAAAAAGCACTTCCGTTTTTGATTCGCACAGTATGAACCATGCCATCACCGTCGAAAACATGGTGCCGCTTTGTGGGTTCGGCCCACAGGTTGGGACCAATCCGCAGGAACAAGCCGTCGAGGTCTCGGGGCAGGGATCCTTCGACGAGCTCGAGCTGCAAACCCAACCCGTCGTTCACCTCATCCTGGGTTGGGGCAAAGATGCCCTTGAAGTACACACTCTCTTCCAGGTTGTAGGTCAGGCTGCCCTGCTGCCAGTCCAGCAACCCATCAATAATGTCAATGAGCTCCAACGATATTGAGTTGCGAGGTCCCTTCCAGACGCCTACAAAGATTGCTGTCACTGCGACCGTCGTAGCCAAGCCACCCTTGCACGCAGCGGCGACGATTGTCATTTAGGCCTTCCTCAACAGCGCTCGTCAAGACTGTCGAGGGACGTGATATGGCATTGCCGTCCGAAATGCTCCAGCCAGAGCCCACGACTTGAGCCAAAATGGTTACGGCATGTTGGCCTGGCCTCTTGGAAGCCTCTCGGGGGCCTCCAGGAGCCGTCTTGGGGCCATCTTGAGCTGCCTGGGGCCGTCTGGAGGCTAGCTGGGCGTGTCTTGGCGGGCTCGAGGGCCGTGTCGGAGCCATCTTCGGCCGCCTCGGAGCCATCTTGAATGGCCTTGGGGTTCCCAGCCGACAGTCGTGGGCCGATGTGGGGCTCCTCGTGGGCAGCTCTTGGACGGCCTGAGAGGCCCCTCGGAAGCGAACATGCGAGTTCGTGGTAAACCTATTGGTTTCAGTGGTGATTCAATGATTCTCGTATCCTGGAGGCCTCTCAGAAGCGACAAGGCGAATTCTTGGTAGACCTATTGGTTTCGGTGGTGTTTCAATGGTTCTCGTATCCTGGAGGCCTCTCGGAAGCTTCTTGGGAGCATCTGGGAGTTTTAGGGCCGTTTGGGGGACATCTTGAACTGCCTGGGGCTGTCTGGAAGCTAGATGGGACCGTCTTGGCGGTCTCGATGGCCGTCTCGAAACCATCTTCGGCCATTTCGGAGCCATCTTGAAGAGCCGTAGGGGCTCCATTCGACCGTCTTGGGCCATCCTGGGGCCTCAGCAGCCCCTAGGAAGCGATGAGGCGAGATGTTGGAAAAACAATGGTTTCCCTCAGGTTGGTTTCAACGATGTCGGCTCCTTGGAGCCTCTTGGGGGCCTCTTGTGAGCCTCTTGGGGGCCGTCTTGGAGCCGTCTTGGGACCATCTTGAGCTTTCTCGGGCGGTCTGGAGGACACCTGGGGATGTCTGGGCGGGCTCCAAGGCCGCAAACCTCATCACCGCCCTCCTCCTCCGCCGTCTCCCCTCCCTTCTGTGGCTTGCGATGCGAAGCAATGCCCAGCAATGCAAAGCAATTGGAAACGGCGAGAGGCAGTGCGAAGAAATGCCAAGCGACGTAAAGCAATGCAGCACAAAGCGATGGAACGCAAGGCAACGCAACGCGACTCAATGTAAACCAGTGCGAAGCAATGCACATAAAGCAATGCAGAGCAACCGAATGCAATGCAAAGTATCGCAACGCACCGCGAAGTAATGCAGGCCCAGCCGGCGACGGGGCGGCGACGGCGACCACATGGCCGCCAGACCGACGGGCAGGCCCAGAACGACAGGGCAGCGACGGCGACCACATAGCTGCCAGACCGACGGGCAGGCCCAGAATATGGGCGTCGACGAAGCGGCGACGACGCGACGACGGCGACCACATAGCCGCCATACCGACAGGCCCAGTTCCTTATATAAGACATGTAAGAAGCAGTTAGTCCAAGCACTGGTTGGGGAACAAACATCTATGTATACACGTAGATCTGAATACAGACACGCCCACAGCCTCAATATGGATACGACATGTGTACATACATACCGATCTAAACATGATATGGATGCCCGTATGAAACACACATAGTTCTACACATTGGTATGTCACTATGTGCAGAGAGAGAGAGAGAGAGAACAAAAGAAGAAACAAAGCAACAACGAAGAAAAGAAGAGAGCGCCCAAATGGCATGCTGTACATTCGGCCCCCGCGCCTCCGATCGGCGACGCCTGGGCGGTTCGTTCCTGCTAGGGAACGAGCCGCCGGACAGCTGTTCGTTCCGGCTAAGGACACGTGACCTTCACGGATCGGTCCAGCTCGAAACGTCAGGCGCAGACATGGTGTCGGGTGCCCCGGCCGTGTTTCTGCACCACGCTGTGACCTTGTCACGTCGTCGGGTGTCTTGACCGTCTGGGTGTTCAAAGTTCGCGCATGTTGAAAGGGGCCGGCCAATGACTGCGTCGCCCATCTTACGTGTGACTGAAACTTGGGGCTCAAGGGTACTGCGTATGCAGATCAGATCACCGATTCCGGGGTACGACGCCAGTGCCAGAACGAATGGAGCATTCCAGAGCGTGGGCATTGGGCACGTCCGTTGCAAGAGATAATCATGAAGTCTGTCAAACTGGTGGCTGGGGTACGGCACCATTTCAAAATGTATGAGCACACAAAAACACACAACAAATTGAAGATGCACACCATCGGTGTACGTTCATGTGCTACGCAATCGCACCAACATTTACCGTGCTCGGTGCATCACGCATGAACTCCCGAAGCGTATAGGCGATCTCACGCCTGCGCTGCTCAACTCACCGCCCCAGGAAAGGACACACCGCAATACGACCCCTCACAGCTCTGGCAAACCACGCCCGCGGTGCATGCCAGGAGGAGAAGAAGTGCCGAGCTGCGCCCAACATTGTACGGAAAGAGCGGACCCCCCCCCCCCCCTGGCGCAGAGCCCCTGCAGCTCACGCATCATACAGCAGGGGCCCGACCACAAGAAACCTTTCACAAGAAACCCAACCGTGAGACCCAAGAACGTCCATTGACTTTTGGTGTGGCAAAGCTACGCTTTCCATAGCAAAACCATCCAAACCCTAGAAACCCAGGACACCCTGGAGGCAAGCAGGGTGTTTTTTGGCATGGGTCTCCACTGTACACCGCCGAGCGCTTCCGGAGAGGAGGGGCGTCTTCCACCTCGCCCAGCAGCAACGGTGCGCGACGAGCTCTGCCGCTCCGTCACTCTCATCCGCAACTGCGAGGTGCGACGCAAAATACAACCGACAAACATGATCAAGAATCTTCTGATTCGAGAAACCTGGGCCAGCTTTCCGGGAACTTCTCAAGACAGGCATGGGCCACCTCGTCGTTTTCATGCTGCAGGGCGAACGTGCTCAAGAACTGGGACAGCTTGCTGGCAAGTTGGTTGAGAAACTCTGGCCCAGCTTTTCGAGAGACGGTGTCTTAATCAGATTCTCGAGTGTATGGTTGAGTGGTGCAGCAGACTTTTACGTCTTCCTGCTGTGCACGCTCGTGCTCCGGCACACACGCTCAAGAACCTCATGCTCTGAGCGCGCTCCGTTCCTCACCCGCGCGCTCTCTCTCCTCCCTCGCCTGATGTGCCCAATTGGGTGTCCCTCGGCTGCCTGCGAACGCGGCGTGAATCCTCGCCGCTGGGACCAAAAAAGACACATTAGCCCTGCCGCGTCGTTGCTGTCTGACCCGTCGCGCCATCGCGTCTCCGCTGACAAACCAAATAACGTTTCCAAAAGGGGTCGTCCGGCTGGCCTCCTAGGGGCGCACCCCAGGGCGGGGGGCGCGCCCTGAGGCAGTGACGGGCTGGGTAGCATCAGCAGCGGGCTTTGCTCCTCTCGCTCCGCCTCGCAATCTGTGTGTTTCTTTCCCTCCTGATTGAGCCCAGAGGGCCAGAGGAGGGAGAGGCCGCGCGCGCGCGAGCAAAACCCTCTGTTAGGACCAACGTCCCACGGGGGCGGCGACTCTTTTCTTTGCTCCCCAGCGCAGCCAGATGCACCACGCGCGCGAGCAAAACCCTCTGTTAGGACCAACGTCCCACGGCGGCGGCGACTCTTTTCTTTGCTCCCCAGCGCAGCCAGATGCACCACGTGCGCCGCCGCCGCCGAGGTGAGCTTCGCGGGAGGGCGCGGCAGCAGCCGCTCCGTCCTCCTCCCACGGTCCAGGACTTCTGCTTGACTTTGTCGTGGCGGGGGCCCCTGCACCACGGCGTGCCTCGTTCAAGCCACTAGCACGTCGCTCTGCTTCGTGGGACGGGAGGGTGGGAAAATTGGCGGCCCGCACAAGGGGGCGGAGGGAGGGGGGAAGGCTTCTTCGAAGGAGGCTGCTTCTTAGAAGGCGCTGGCCTTACACATATATATATATATATATATAAACCGCCTTCTAAGAAGCAGGGGGTGCTTCTGAGAAGCCCTCCGCCCTCCCCCCCGCCCCTTTCTGCGCGTGGCCGAGAAAAGCTCGGAACGATGATGCTCGGGGACTAGGACGTGATTAGCGTGTCGGGCCGAAGCGCAGTGGGCCAGAACCGGCGGCTCGACACGCTGACCAAACGTTCCCCACGCCCCTCTCCCGCATCTCGTCCTCCTTCTCCTCCTCCTCCTCCTCCTCATCCTCCTCCTCCTCCTCCTCCTCCTCCTCCTCCTCCTCCTCATCATCATCATCATCATCATCATCATCATCATCATCAGCAGCAGCAGCAGCAGCAGCAGCAGCAGCAGCAGCATCATCATCATCATCATCATCATCATCATCATCATCATCATCATCATCATCATCATCATCATCATCATCATCATCATCATCATCATCATCATCATCATCATCATCATCATCATCATCATCATCATCATCCTGCTTCTCCTCCCCCTCCTCCTCCTCCTCCTCCTTCTCCTCCGACTTTTCCTCCAGCGATCCCGTTGGCGCTCTCTCACAAGCATGTGCATGCTGGCTTTATGTTCCAGGCGAGGACTGGATCGGCTAACCATGTGCGTGAAGTGGTCAAACTCAGGGCCCATGTAGATGTAGACCCCAACCTTCCCCGAGATGGGTTTTTTTCCAAGAGAGTCGGCAATGACCATGCGGACAAGATGGCCAGGCCTCGCCTCAGGAGATTGACGCTCTCGATAGAAGATCGCTACTGCGCGAGTGGTGGCGAAGTTAGCCGCGAAGCTTTTGTCTCTCTGGCCTCGGCTCGACCTTCAGGACGCGTCCTGATCCAGCTTCGGGGCCAGGTCACCACGCACGAGAGGAAATGTCACCTCTGGGCCCGAATTCAAGACGCCTGGCAGTGCACTGTCTGTCTTAAGGGTTCTCGTCTTGCTCTGCCTCCCTCCGCCAGTTGTCCTGGTTCGGAGGGCCTTCGTGGGCTCAGCGCCGACGACCTGAAAGATTTGGGCCACACCGTGGCCACGTTTGATTGGTCAGATGGTTCTTTTGTTGCGGTTTGCACACGCTGTCAGCTCTACTGGACGGGAGGCCAGGTGCGAGCACTGTTCGAGCGATGCCTCCCCGTCCCCGCCATTCTTTCGGACCACAGTAAACGAGGTAGGAGGTAGAAGGGGTGACCCTACAGTTCACAGACCTCTCGGCAGAAGGTTTCAGCGGACCCATCCTTCTTCTTCTCCCGACGAGCCTCCTCCTCCTCCTTTGGATCTGGTTGAAAGAAAGCCCTGGCCAAGTGTTGTATAGGGT